ATTACATCAAGAGAAAATGAGTACTACGTTGTATTTTGTCTTACGTAGTAACTGATTTGTAAGCAATCGGCTTAAACGTAGGATTGAGAAGTATGAACTGAGTCGACTCTGACTTGTTCATTACATTTCGTCGTAGAAACCCAATGATGGAAATTCTTCCAAGGTAATCGACGTGACTTTAGCAGTCTTCGGAATTGGTTGTACCTCCACAGAAATATTCATTGTTTTAGAATACCGTTGATCTGTGTCAATACGGGGCAAACACCAACGTATTCAGCTGACTCCAGAACAACACCTACAACGTAGAAATTGTAGTTGGAGACAGATGGTGAGATAACCTGGGTCATCACATTGAGGATGTCCATGGCGCAAACAAGCGTAGTAACGTTAGGACTATAGGTGATTGTGTTACGAAGTGCTGTATCCAACAGTGCGCTGTCAGCATCGGTCACGTCCACTTGGACCCAGTCCTTTGTCGCAGCATGGGTTGTCGAGAGAGCCAACAGAGTTAGGCTGAACAGGAAGATACCAAAATTAACCATTACAATTTGCGTTTGATCGGGGAGAGGAATGTCCTTGACGTGGTGGATTTGAAAATGATTCGTTGCCCCCGATGCTGAGAACGACTTACAAATTCAATTCCTAGACATATCATTTTCTTTACGGGAAAGAATTAACATGATGATTTGATTAACAGTGTTGACGCTGCAACAACTTCGATAATCACCATGCCACTCCGTTCCAGCCAATATTCTGGAATCTGTGGGATGTTTAAGCACGCCATCACTCTGTACGTTAACCTCTATCCAAAAGGAAATAAACTATTTAAGCAATCTTTGCAAGACCTAAAGAGACTGCTTATTAGTTATATAAGTAGGTTGCGATGCGCTTCTGGCTCTGTTAATGTACCATCCACACTGAGCATGATAAAATACAGGTTTCTTCACATCGAGGATACAATCGCACAACGATGCACCAAATGCTATTCATGAGTCGACAAGAACCAAGCGTATAGATTACTCACATGTCAAAATAATGAAGATTAAAGTAGATTACACGTTCAGGTGACCTCTTTTGCGCAGTAATCGGAGGTTCTTTCGTCCTTCTTAGGACCCGCATCGACCACCTCACAGGATGCCGAGGACGAGGTGGAGATATACTACCATGACAGCGGCGATCTCTCAGCGGGAAATCTGGAAGGAAACCTGGCTGTCCTCCCCGAAATCCCGATCTCGACGACCGCGAAGGTGAGCATCGAGGATCTGCAGGTGGGAGACTCAGGATCGGCCACACCCGAGGAGATCGAGATGCTCCGGCAGATAATCTGGAAGAAGCGACATCTTCTGATCGGCAAAGGAAATGGCTTACCCCTGGCGGCCTGGGGCGTCGTATGTGATATCGATGTGGGAAATGCAAAACCGATCGCGTTGCGAACCCGGAAAGTGCCCACACGATTTCGCGAGAAAGTCGCAGGCCCAATCAAGGGCCTCTTGGCAGCCGAGATCATCGGACCCTCGACATCGCCATGGGCTTCACCGATCGTGATCGTTCGCAAG